TCAGAAGACCCAAAGGTGATCTTATTTTTGCTAAGAAAATACAGACTGGGCCAAAGGTGAAGACTACAACTGAAGTCTTCTTAAAAAATAGCTGGGGGTAGAAGTAGGGAAGAGGAGAAGTAGGTTCAATTAAGAGAGGCCTAAAAAAAAAAAAAGTGAATGACCTCAGTTTCTAGACCAGAGGTTTCAAAATAAGGATGAGTTTGTAAACAGCCCGCTTATTAGACCTTTTCTCTGTATTCCTGGCACTACCCTCTCAGGGCTATTTTTAGCCACAGGAGAATGGGGAGCAGACAGGGAAGGGTTCGCTGTGGCCCAGCCTTACCTTGGGTGCCCTGCTGGGACTCCGGCTATCTTTAATTAATGTCAGAGAGAAATGAGAGTGACCCTACACGTGGTGAAAGGAAGTACAATGGTGAAATTCTACCCCGTAAGACTGATCGGCCCAGTGCTGGCCTACCATTCCTGAGGTCCCAGAGCAGTTTTTTGTTCAAAAGAAAGCTCCCTCTGGAACATTCAGAGGGCAATGAAATAGCCGCTGAATATTTAAGAGTACAGAAAACAGGACTGCCTGCCTGTTTCACACTCTCAGACTACATTTTACCAATAAATCACTTTTATATGATTTTATATCTTTTCTCTAGAATAAAGAAATTTCCCTTAAAGTGATTCCCTCTAGTCCATATTCATAAACAAAGAAGAAACCAACATTTCTCATCATCTAACATTTATGGTTTTTTCCTCCTGTAATATTTCTCAAGAGATAAGCCTAAAGCTTTTAAACCATGACTCGCTGTCATCCAGATTAAGCTTTACTACAAATTAGAGGTTACTCATACCTTTGGAAACAGAACTGAATAAGCTAAGAAACTGATAATGAAATATATTCTATGTACTACCCCAAACTCATCAACATCAGTATCGTTAAGGCAGACTGCAGGCACGGTTGATAGAGAAAAGATAAAAGGCTATCATTTCAAGAAAAAACTGAGACCACAGGGTTATACAGCTATGATAGATATGGGCATACTGCCTACTCAGGGGTCAATAAGCAAAGAATTTAAGGGATTCCTATTCAAGCAAATATGAATAAAATTCAAACAGTCTGAATTTCAATCTACTGTACTACAGACTAGAGCAAGCTGCGTTCTTACTACTCGACTCTATTAACTGAAATAGGTCTGTTTATCTAAGACTCCATTAGTTGATGAAATAATTTAAATTTCTAAAATGCTCTTTTAGCTAAAAGAGCCATATGGCTGTCTTCACTTTTGCAGAAAGTACTTACACTAAAACCATTATTAATTTTAAGCAATGTTTTCAGTACTACGTATAGTCAGGAAAACGCCAGTCCACTGCATTTGAGTACTAGCTTTCTACCCTCATTCTGAAGCTGGTTCCTCACCAGCCCCAGATGTCCATCCTGAGACCAGTTGTTTTCTGAATGAGACATGAAGGCAGGCTGTAAAACAGATGGACATCTTCACACTGCAGAAATATTACTCAGTTGCTAAGTGCCAGTTAAGGTCCAGCAGAGCCTGCCTTCCCCTCCCTTTTTTATTACTTAAGTGTATATGGAAAGGAAGGTGGTGTCATGAGATGACCAAGTGAAAAAAAAATTATCTGAAAAGTATGTAAAAAGAAAATTAATTTGCTGGAGAAAGTTATGACAGAATTGAAAGTTAAACTATAGTCAATTGTCCAGTACAGCACTGTCCAGTAGAATCTTCACTGGTGATGGAAATGTTCCACATCAGGGGTCCCCAAACCCCAGGCCAAGGACTGGCACAGTCTGTGGCCTGCTAGGAACCAGGCCACACTGCAGGAGTGGTGGGGGAGCCAGCGAAGCTTCATCTGTTCAATGTAGGAATGATGCTAACTAGCATCACCGCCTCAGCTCCACCTCAGATCACCAAGCATTAGATTCTCATGGGAGCACCAGTCCCTGGTGCCAAAAAGGTTGGGGACCACTGTTCTACATCTGTTGTCCAATATGGTAGACATCAACTAGAAAGCACTGAAATATAGCTAGTGTTGACTGAGGAACTAAATTTTTAAATTTTTGTTTAATTTTAATTAAATTTAAATAGTCACATGTGGCTCACAGACCCAGCATTAAACAGTACACAGGTTGAGAACATGGAAAAGCAGGCTCCTAGATAAAAGAATAACTCAGAGGAACCAAATGTTCCTGTACTTTCTCCCAGGAATTAAGAGGGGGGGAAAAAAAACTAATTAACTCCCCTTCTTAACTGCTATAGTAATTAAAAAGCACTTTCTAATCATTTTGTTTCATCTGAATGTGGACTTTCTAATATATGATTAGAAAGTCTAAAATGCAGAAGTAGTGAAACTGCCTTTCTTTTACTGTAAATGAGAATTTAAGAGTTGAAATAATCGTTTTGAATTTTTCAATTTCTCCCTAAGTTGAAATATAAATTTGGACCAAATGTTTACAACAAAAGATTGTTTAAATTGCTGAAAGGTTTTTATTCATCTTTTTTGTTATTGTTCTTTTCTCAGTAGTCACAGTAAGACCTTTGATGTGATTATGCTTTGAGACCTTGGAGGAAAAAACAACCTGTAAACAAAATCCCAAGTGCGCAGACTCAAAAGATTCATTCCAACAGCAACAGTTTAATTAAGGTTGGGGGTGGAGGGTGAGGTGAGCTGCTCTTTACAACAAGTTCTGAACATCTAAAACCTGTTCAAAAAACTTTAGACTGGTTTATGATATTCATTTGTATTCCTAAAAATCACCAACGCTAGCATCCTTGATAATTACTGGTTGTAAGAAAATGCTTGTAGCCTTATGTACTGCACACTATAGCTTTAAATGGCAGTGCATTCTAAAGACATGTCATCTAGGGACACAGACTCCCTGTACGGTATACACCAAGGCTACAGCAAAAACAAACTACATTGACTAACAACAGATGTTCTTTCCAAAGTGCCTAAAGATTATGTTTAGTGCCCTTGAACCTGTTTAAACAACATAAAATGGTACTGATTTAAATGAAGGAAGTTTATCAAATCCCAAGCAATTAGAGACAATTTTAGGATTAAAAAAGTAGTAATAAACCACATGGTGTAATAGACTACATAGACGACTGCTATAAACTCAAAAGGGATCTCAGACCAAACACCATACCTTTTCTAATAATTTCAACAGCAGGGCATTTGACAAGACTGTGTGGTCTGAATGTCAGAAAAACTAATGAATGAACTGATGCGACCAGCACTACCACGTCTCCGGAGTCAAGGCTGCAGGAATCTGTACTTGGCTCTGCCTTTCAACTATTTACCAACAATGTGCATAAGTTCACTTAAATATGTAAAAAGGCCACAAGCCTGGATCCAAATTGATGTAAAACAATGGAATATTTAAATGTAAGGTCCTGCATTAAAGCTGAAAGAGTCAATCCCAATCAGCACCAACCAAAAAGTCAAGGATTCTTAACAATTCATGCAAAAAAAAAAAAAAAAGGCAGAGAATGTAGAAGCAGGTTCAACATAGGCTGACAATGACATGGTTGCTCAAATAGCTTATTCAATCTTAGACGGCCTTTACGAAAACGTAAATTGCCAAGAAAGTTACTATTTTCTGCTAAAATAGGTACTGCAGATGTTGCAAGATACTACTTACTGCATTTTAGCAGGGACAATGACACATTCAAGGTGTCTGAAGAACTCCCACTTGGTGAGTCAGAAGGAGTCACACACTTGGAAGGGAAGAACAGCAGTAGAGGGGAAGAAAGCGAGACTACTGTCTCCAAAGGCCTAAAGGGCTGACATGTTGATGAGGAATAGACTTATTCTGTGTGGTTCCAGGGAACAGAAACAGAATCTAGAGAGGCAAATTTTAGCTCATAAAAGGAATATGTCAAAATCAGGGATATGTCACAATCAGAGTTGTTCATAATTGGTCTGGCAGATCTGGAAAGGCAGTGAGCACCTCATTACTAAACACCAGACCTGATAACCCTAGAAGATGTCTACCGTCACAGTAAGTTAGATTAGGTGACTCCCCTCTTTCCCCTACCCCCACCGAATAGATGACATTCACAGGCAAGACTACCTCCCTAACCCCAACACCTCCCATTCTCTCACTCAAGGCATTCTATCAATGCAAATTATTAAGGAATGTTAGGAAAGGCATCACAGCTCGGATTTATTTTATAAAATAATAATCTGTGATTTTTAGTGATTTAACAAAAGTCAGAATCACTAACAATTACCAATAAAACAAGCTCTGATAGCTGGACAGTTAAATCACTTAAATCACTGAGATTTCATAAACGCTGCTCTCATACATAATATTCGGATTCTATACATTATGTAGTTT